AAAATGATGGCCCGCATAGTTTTTAGATGATCAAGAGTTCTGTTGTAGTTGCATTCATTTTACTTTTAATTGGTTAGTTAAAATGTATTGAATCATTATAAATTGTATCTTTTTATTTTTTTCTCATTAAATATCAGGCACTCTCTGAATTACAATTCATAAAATTAGAAATATTTAAAGAGGCAGTTTTACATACAAATGTGTCAAACGTATCAAATAATTTTAATTCAATTTTAATGATACTGTGGTATTTTAAAGGGGATAGTGACTTAATTTGCAAACACAGCTAGCAAGTTTTGACCTAACCGAGGAATGACTGCCCATATGGAGGTAGGTGACAACTGACTCGTTTCCGCCGTTTTTCGTAAGGCCATTTTCATGTGATCGCATTGCAGGGTCTGTTTTGGACTTCTCTTGTAAATCTTATCTTGGGCTTGTAAAAAAAAAAAAAAAAAAAAAAAAAATCAGCTTTGGGCATCTATTTTTCAACATACGAGATCATTTTTAGGTATTTGGGGAGATACAGATGAAATGTTGTCAAATTTTTACACTGCGGAAGAAAGCTATGCACGACGGTAACATTTGTGTCACTTGACCTTGAATGGGGCGAGACGCAGGGGAGGGAATAGGCCATCTGTCCGTTGCCGGCGATGGTGCGGGAATCTCCGGTAGCCAAACAAACAACTGGCAGACAAGGGTCGCATGGCGGAGAGTGCTGGAGCCTATCCCAGCCGTCTTCGGCCAGTAGGCGAGGGACACCCTGAACTGGTCGCCAGCCTTTCACAGGGCGCACGTAGACGAATACCGATTGGCGCTCACGACCACACCGAGAGAAATTTGTCGCGCCCAAGCAACCTGCCATGAATGATTTTGGAATGCGTTATGCGGGAGGAAAGCGGGGTACCCAGAGAAAACCACAGTGAACATGGCACACAGGAAGACCGGAGCCGGAATCGAACCACGCACCTTTGCGCTGTGAACCGGACGTGCGCCGCCCATAACTCCCTTCATTGTTAACATATCGACAAATTTCAAACACCGTTTTATTCCTTCATTCCATCTCTTGCCGATGACATTGTTCTTATTTGGGGAAAAAAAAAGATTTTAATTTTGTTGTGACGTACGTCCATTTAAAAAAAATCGAATGTGGCCGTTGAGTCCGCCCACCCCAGATCTCGACAAGTTAAATCAGCTTCAGACAACCGTTTGTCCATGTAGTTAGTCCCGACATATCTACACACAACAAGGTCGTTTGGTTTGAAGGTCAAACATCCACATGCTTCAAAAGAATGGAGAGGATGTCATTCGGGGGTCCTCAGCGAGTCTGACTTTGCGCCAACGCAGGTTCCTCTGACCCGCCCGCTCCGTGACACCCCACGCATGCGAGGTGACACAGAGGACAGCCGCCCGTCCTTCCGCCCCCAGAAAAGCGTCTTCAGCTTCCCAAAACGCACCCCCCGAGCAAC